TCTGTCGAGATTTTAAACTGATTCTGCAAATCAACTTTGTTCTGATCTAATTCTACAACTCCAACCATTTTGAATCCAAAAATCCATAAATTAAAATCTTGTGCTGATGATATCTATTCTAACACGTGAACATGTAATCGGTTGTATCCTTGTTCATATCAAATTACCTGAACCAGAACATGAACTACATGCGTATCATGCGGATATTTGATAAGGATTCTTGCGCGTGCTACAGTATAAACAGTGTATTTTTGTTAAAAGTTGTCTGTTGTTACAGGTAATGCCTCGATTCAACCGGTTGTCATGCTTTACCTGTTTGTAATAGATACATGTATGAACATATATATCTACATACATACCTGCTGTATCACCCGGTAACCTAGACATACCACGGGTCGTTATACACGACACCACTGTTTCCACTTTCTTTATTCTAAATAGTACACTTGTTTTATATTATCTGAATGTTACATTTATGTTGAATGTTTTCTGTCCATCGTTTCTTGAACCTGAAACCATTCGCTGTCTTAATGGGCAATTTAGAATATATCACTTTTAATATGTTGTTTATGCATCTTGTTTTTTTTTGTGAAATCACATCCATGTGTATATATCACAATCAAATAGTTGATAAAAAAATCTCAACACCTCTTTTTCTCGCTACCTGTTTTGACACTGTTTATTGCTCTGACGCTAAATTTAGTTCATGTAATCACTTCAACATCCAAACAAGTTGTATATCAACTGTAGGTACAAACTTTATGTAGCTAATTGAATGTCAAATTGGTGTGATACATATCACTTTACAGGTCTATCAATCGTTTCTCACTCATCGTGTCACAAGAAGATGTGGCTCATTAGCTAGCATTTAAAGTTCGGCAGGAAAAATTGACAAAATATTTGCAGTCGCCATTATTTCTGTGGTTCTCATCTAAGTCTTCGTTCTGTTTTCCCAGTAAGGCTTTTTTGTACAACACTACCGAATCTGTGAAAATAAATTCTCCTAATGCAGCCGTCCTCATACAAAATAATGAAAATTGATGGTTGGTATGTATGACGTCACATTCCTGTACAAATTGACTTATTTCAGTCTATTTTAATGGTACAGTGTAATTCAATTTGAAGAAAAGAAGTCTGTGGTTAGAGTGAACTGTCTGGTATTCTACGTCATTGGGAGGCCTGTCATGACCAATACTGTTACAGCAGAAAGCAGTCGAAAGGTTAACGAATCAAAAACTTCGAAATGGGAATATACCTGCACGTGTACATATACAATTATACCCTATATATTTTAGTATGTTGTTATAACGACCGACACTGTTGTAGAATAGTACTGGAAACTAAACCGTGTTGTTTGGACCGAATGTATCATGAGATTTAAATAAAACACAGCATTCCTATTTGTCATCTGTTAAAACCAACCATCCGTAAAAATTGCTTGGTACTTCTATTGAAGACCAACGTTTTCTGTTATATCAGAGACGGAAAATGCAGAATTGATGAGGGTGATGAAAGGACAACTTCCCCTTGACTGTACGTACAGGAACGCGTTGACATGTCTCACAAGCTTTAGCCATTATCACATAAAGCATATACCGACGCCTGAATACACAAACATGCTAAACATGTTACGTAGCTAAGCCTTTCCACCAAACTTACCCACTGACAATGCTCCCGACTGCTACTAAAATGCAAGTTCTTGTGCCAGTGTCTATATCTTAGCGTTTGAAGATTGTTTTCTGTTCGTGCCATACGTAACATTTCAGATATCCTACCTACCTGAACACAAGCCGCGAATATTTTGTGAATAGTAGTTGTAATAGAACCCAAATCAATCCTAACAAAGGCAGCATTGCTATACATGTGTATTTATATTTAATATCTGGACAACATATATAGATGATATTTCATAAGTTTCCGTTTAATATATTTTACGAGTACGACAGAATATCTATGTTTTACTAGTGTGAAGTACGAGCGATGAATAAAGGTATATTTTGTTGTTCTCGTATACTCTCTCTGAAGTTAAACGCTGAACCATTTTATTTCCACTTTATTGCATTTGTAAGGAAAAAAAATTCCACAAAACAAAATAAAGCAATTGAGCTAATAAAAAAAGCCGATCAAAACATAAGACAGAGGGGTGTTAAAAAAAGTTCGGGAAATGTTATAGTGCTCGTTGCCATGAGATAGTCTGACATTGCCTTGACAACAAGACGACTGTCTGAAGTTGCAGTTTTACGTAATATTCAACCATATTAGGATGTTATCTAGTAAAAATATCTTGCAAAACTGTTAATATTTTCCAAATTAGATATGGAAAACAAGCATCTCAACCAACACTTCGTCAGCATCTTAATAGGAAAATCGAAGAATTTCAATGCAGTGCATAGAAAGCACCTCTCTGGATGGTCAAAAGTATAAAAAGTTATATAATCTCTTGACAAGTTATATCATCTCTTCTGATAACTTAAATTTTCTTCTATGAAAAGTTTTTTATCCAATTTTATCATCTTTCCCGGGCAAAATGTAATAAATGTTTATATTGTGGATTTAGAATCTCGTTAAAAGAAAAGCTTCTTTGTTTATTTTTCCATTAAGTAGTAAAATATCAGTGCAGGACATCATCGTTATTGACAAAGGCGCGCATCTAATCGCTTCAATCCGAAATAGGCGCTTTCCTTTTAACTAATAGAAGCTTCGCTGTGTGTATCTCAGATCACAGAAATCTTTAACATGTTCTACAGCACTTCTATAGGTATAACATAAATAGGGAATAAGGCTAGAAGTAATTTATTTTGGTAAAACAAATTTACCACTTGGTGCATATTGCGATTAAATTAACAAACTAGCGAATATTTCAAATCGTGTGAGGAGGCAAAATTACAAATATCTGATATTTTGAACGAATTCTAATTCTAGCTTTGATCCGCATAATCGTATGCATTTCCTTTCAATCAGAGAAACCTGGACCTATTTTATTGGGGGTTGATAGAATTCATGACCACTAGAGCTGTGGTATGGTCTTTCGATGCATGTTACGGTAGTTCAATGACTAGTTTGAGCTCTAATTATCTCCCCTTTGTATCTACGGTGTGTTGTTTCATATTGCACCCACCATCAAAAGTTTGTTACATGTATGCACATTTTGTAATGCACGTTCTCTAATCTTCGACGACTTTCGGGCGTTACCTCTAAAGTGTGAAAAGTATCTTCAGCAGTTCCGCCATTTTTATTTAGACAAGTGCAGTTTACATCATAAGGGCACAATGTGTTTCATAGAGACACTTAGCTTCAAGAAGTCGACGACAGCTCTACATATGTATAATTTAACAGATTGATACAATTTAGGTTAAAAATAGTAAAACTCTAATTGCATCCGAATCAGCGGAACAACATGCATTCATTGACTTTCACACATGTTGCATTGACGTATTTGAATATCATGCCAAGAACAATCCCTTCCCTGTAGTATGTAAGAAATTAATCAAATACTTTTTTTAAGTTAATGCCGACTTATATTTTCGCATGAAGCTATTTTTTTAAGGTATAAAAATAATTATGTGTTTGGTTCGGGTTTTTAATCAATACATTTTCACGTCGTTTTGTTTTATTTAATGAATTGATATAATTACTTGAGCTATAAAAAGTAAACAATATGTTGATCGAATTACATTGTTAACATGCCTCTGTGCACTGACCAGTGTGTGAACAGCTGTTTTGATGTCTTCCAAATATGATTTCATATTTAATCATAATAAAACAACCGTCATATTGTGATAATTTTTATTCATACCAGACATCAATAATGGGTCGCAATGTCTGCGCTGATGATAATGACTAACCCCGTACAGCTCAATCTTCAGTGTATGGGAAACTGGAGTTAATGTCTGAGCCTTGGGCATGAAAGGGCAGACAACCCGCTTAATGTGTCTAATGCAAAAAAACCATACGGCTGTAGTATTAATTGATTGCTAAAGCCCGACTTGCCATCGTCGATGATGATCATGACTCATTATCTCATATTGAGCTATATCATATTGCAAATGCTTTTAATTTTAATTCAAGTTCACATAAAAAAAATCCATAAAAGCTCCTTTCTGAATCAAGCCAGGATCCGCTTACCTGTAGAACTTGCGGTGAATCCCATAAATCAATTATCTTCGCTTTCTTTCTAGCCATTAAAAGATAAAGACAAGGGAATTTTATGTTTGTGGGAGGAATACATTGATGTATTGATGGAAGCTTGTTGAACAAGGAGTTTATCGTTTTTAGTTATTCTAATAATAAATGGACTGTGCCAGCCATGAATAGTACAGACGTTAAGTTCAGGGCAATGCTACATATTTGACCGTTACATTCATATTTCAGCTAAGTGCAGGTGAAATTATCAATGGGACTAGTGATCAGACAGATGTAGTTCAATACTACTGCCGTTACACGTGTTAAACCCATTCCACACTGTCACCCCGCAGACGTACACTTTATACAGATAAATATCAACTAACTCGATCCAATTAGATATTGGATGTGGCGAGTCAGTCGGGCAGGCAAACAGTACTGCCATTTCTAGTGCGCTTTGCGCTCCGGTAGAGTCGTTCTACATATCGTTATTCATAGCATTGCCGGTCCTTTATAATCCTGTACTCTGTTACGTTGCTTTCCAAGTTGTGAGGCAGTGTCGGGCCGAGCATGGATAACGCTCACAAACCCACATGACCGTTTCTTTCTCTGCTTCTGCCGCAGCACCTAGCGCTAGGCGAAATGGATAAAATCACATAGTGTTAAAACTTAGTAAGAGCTAATTTGTTCACAAGTTATTTCTGTGTGTAATTTGAGATCATTTAGCCGGGTCGATGCAACTTCCGATCTCTCGGGGTAGCTCTCAACTACGAGTTTTTCTCTTATGGAGCCCTGAAGCGGGCGTGTTTTTAAAAGCAGTACAGTCTGTTATGGATACAAGCAAGCTCGTATTAAGTGGAGAAGTATTGTGATAAGAGTTGGATGTATTTGTTTATAAAAGAGAGCGGGAAGTGATACATGTGGAATAACATATGTGTAGATGTGGATATACTTAAAATCACGACAAGGTAAGTGGTACAGGTGTTTGGAGTTGAACAGGAGTGGTGTTAGTACCCGTAGACACCAAACATTTCTGAAATACATCACACAAGAATGTTATGTCAATTTATTTAGGTTTTGTTTGCAGGATTTCATCCCATTTTTAAAATGATAGACATTTGAATCTAAATGGTTAAATCAAAACAGAGTGCTACAGTACTTTTATTTCTCAACAGAATGATTTTGAGCGAGTGGTTTGTACAATGACAGCTAATGGTTTTCGTAATGTTTATAAAGATTGATAGAAACTTAAATTTTTCCAATAAAGCAGGAACGTTTGTCTTACACACTGTGTTATTCTTTAGATGAAAATAAACATGTCTCGAAGATTTTCCAAAGATCGTTTGTATTTCCATCTGTCTGTTGTAAACATGATAACTGTGGGTACAGTACTTCACAATCTAGTCTGAAGATAGGATATTTTAGTGTTGGTGTTATTTGATAAACAGTTCACTGGATCCTCTTACAATTTTATTTACATGGGTGTTCAATTTTTCTTTTTCATTTTGGCATGTATGTCGGCGTATTGGAGAAATCGAAACGCAAGCCGACGTGTCCATGGCTTTGTGAGAAACGAGCTTTTCAGTGTAATTGTTGTAAGTAGGAATCTGAACCACGGTTAAATGTCACTGTGTCGGGGATAGGAAGGGACGATATTTAATGAGACAAACCAAAGGTCGTAGTAGAAATGCTAAAATAATAAACATCGGCACATGCAGTTAAAGTAGTTTTTGAACTATCATTAATGCTAAAAAATAACATTGGAACAGTTTACTATGTATAAAGACAACAAATTGTCTTTTTTTCTGGATTAGGAACATTTAAAAAAACCGAAACGAAATGATAATGATAACCACAAAAACAAACGGATGGAATTAAAGAGTAAACATCATAATACGAGTGTTTGGTCTAGGCGCGGAGTTTTAATACAGGGATTACTTAGGGAACAAGCATATCACATACCGACACTGTATTGTATTAAATTACCTGTCGTCATCTTGTCGGTCAAGTATTTGTCACACAAACATATAGGTAGCTAATTACGGAGTAGTGTATTAAATGATACGATTGTCGACCTTATCCCAGTTTAAATCACTTCAACCCCAATGCCGAACATTTAGTACGGGTTTACCTCTGTCTTAATGTCACCACCAAATGCTGATTTTGAGGTGAGTAAATGTTTCGAGGATCGTAATGGACGAAGATAATCGTTATGGTCGAGGCTCTAGTTTAAGTACTAAATCTAACGATTTAGTTGTATTGGTCATACGCCGCAAGGCATAATTCATAAGCTTTCCAAATCAATTGGTACTGTCAGAAGGCCTTTTAAATGTATACATAATTACAAACAGGTCACCGCATCCTATTTCAAGTCACTCCCTGGCGGAATTGCAAATACGTTCGGCTTTAAACATTTTTATAAATGCAGATGAACTCTTTCGAACATTGCATGATTGAAAACATAACGGCGAAGACTTGTTCCAACAGTTCGCAATATCTTTGGAGCTTTACTATAGCCTTCAGGGTCTACAACCGATAACCTGAGAGGACAAACAAGGAGCTCAGTCAGCCTAAAAAGGACGTTTAAAGTGATGACTTTATAAAAACCTGATATCAGATATGTAATAAATATGATAAACAAACTGATAACATAGAACCCGGACTTTACACGTCTCCGACAAAAGCAATGACATTCAAGGCAAACAAGGTTTACATTGCCTTAAGATTTAATCGTTAATCTCTTGCATCATGGGGCTCTTGTACTAGCTTTGAAGTTGTGACGTTCGTTTACGTACACGATATCTAAATTCCGCGGAGAGGACAGTTATTCTAATCGCTGTCAAAACGCTGTAAGACAGAAACAATATGAATCACATAGAAATTTTACCTGCATATATGGATACAAATATGTTGGTTACACAACGTATCCCTATAGATCGCTTTATGATGCATGGTCCTCTCTCTGCACGCTCTTTATGGGAAAGGATGTATCATTTATCATTGGTAAGATGACAATCAAGATTGCACACATAAGGTTATGCAAATAATTCATTAAAACAGTTTTCGAGTAATTTATTTTGATGTCGGGGCTGAATATTGACAAAATTCTAATCTTTAGCAAACACAAAAAATATGAAATCTGATTTGTATCGGACTTGAATAAAAAATATAAATGCTATAACCCCGGAAAAGCAAGTAGAATTGAAGGCACATTGGAAAGAGTGGTGCGATGGGACATTACAGAATCTCTGGAGCAATTATGTATCATGCGAAAATAGGTCATGTTCGAAAAAAGGAATTTTTCAGTCGTCAGTTTACTCCAATGTTGGGAACACCTGTCATCTCAAACAAAGCCTTTCTCAATTAGCATTGAATCCTACAGTCTTGTTCCCGACAGAACACCGAAAATCCATTTCCACATGAATTTAAATCAAATGTTTTTCGGATCAAAAGAGGTTCTGTGATCGACCGCTCCTTCTAGCACAAGTAGTGAATTCTTAAGTAATATTTCATTTTTACCTTTTTTTTACACGTTCAATAAGTGTTGTCACTATCAAAACAATCTATTTTTCACAGGCGGGGAGTGGGTCTGTTTATAGCATTCATAAAGTTTAACTTGCTAAACATTGCATTGATTTCTTATTTACACATGAATACCCAGATATTCAACATAACGGGTTGTAAACGCAGTTCATACCATCACATTAGTTCTGGCGTACCTGTATATGTATGTAAATCCTCCTTTCCTAACACCCACACTTTAAAATGACCTCATTATCAAGTTAAACGCCGGTATGACAAATCGCGCTTGTCTAAGACAGGTGTGAATGAAGGCCCGTCCATCCGAGTATTAACATTGACCGGTTAGTATCCCTCCTGACAGGTAGGCTCCGTGTTAAATTGGTTTAATGACGTTACTCCTGCTGATAAACGTGAGTTTTTATCTCAAAATTAAAGTACATATTTATGATACTCTGAAATACATTTGATTTATACACAAGTTCGACATTTTTAACAAACCATTTAAGTCGATATTTCACAAATCTAATGTGTTTCCGTCGAAAATATTTATAGATATCTATGACATTAAAAGATCCAATATATATATATAATGTTAACTTGTTGATAGATATGATTTTTATGGTCGGAAAAATACATATTTATTGAAAGCCACAATCACGTGTTTTAATGTGCGTTATAAATAACATGTTGGACATGATTATTTTTAAAACAAATCATTGCTTTTCTGATTAACTTGTCTTGTTAATAATGTATGTTTATGTTCTGTTCTTAATGACTTTTCTGCTGGTTAGAAGTTATAGTGAATCTCTGACAGTTATTTGGTTTATTTCGTTCTCGCCTCAAACGTCCGAGGAAATAGGAATTTATGTTGGAATCTGACTAAGAGATCAGGCTATATTCTTGACAACGTTCCATACATTGAGTACTGTACAAGAAGATGGCGCCTCCCGGATTCAAGATTTAACTCTATTGATGTTCCGCAAACTAATAAAGTACTGTACTTAAAAAGACTAATATTTGAAATAAGCATCGAAGCAAACAACAGACAAAAGAAATAGAAGCAAGGCAAATTCGCTTCAAAATTGATTTCTTAAAGTAAATTTAATTTTGTAGCTGTTACTTAAATTTTATAAGATGAAAGCGTAATTAAAATTATCTGTAGGAATAGAATTGCGTCTTGTAATTAAGATTAAATCTAGTCAGTTATGATGGTATGATGGTATTTAAAAAAATCCTAGCCAGGCTAGAAATACTCATTGACGTTCTATGCATGTTACTTATTAAGCTTCTAAGTCATCACTATTTTGTAATAAAATAAAAATAATAAAAAAAATCTAATAAGACTTCCGGTAGCAGAGGTATTTATTTGCATAAGTGTAAGGTTGTTACGATATGCAATTAACTGAAACCATATGTTAGCGCATTACTTTTTATCCCCTTCAAAGGGCACGCATAACAAAATATAATTGTGCAGCTACATTCATCTCCTACGTATAGACAGAGGTTAGAAGAGATAGGCTGTTGTTTGTGTACTTTATTTGCTTGAATCATCAACGTAATTGATCTTCTATTATACAGTGTTTAATGTAAGTTGAAAGGTGTGCTTGTTCTTGTTTCGTTGGATAAATCCAGTCAGTCGGATCTGAGATAATACACCGCATCAACCCAGTACACTTGTTATGTTCTTTGTCTTCCTCTACCGTGAGAATGGAATTTTATTAAGTGAAACATGTTGTTATATTAAATTATTCGCAAGACAAATTAATATGAACTCTGAATCTCGATGAAACGTTGATTCGGACAAGGTTATAACATCAATTTAACTTTAGAATCTAGTAAAAAATTTCTTGAAAATGTACATTGTTTAATATCTAAAATGACCGTTACTTCGATATGGTCAGTATGACGATACAAAGTATTTTTTTTATCATTATTTCGGATGTGATCTTATATCAACATTTGCGGTGCTATCAAACATGACTTTTAGCGTTTGTGGTTCACATGTTATTGAATGGTTATTATAACAGAGTACCGAAAATAAATGTTTGGACAGTAAACTACGTTGCAAGAATATTCTGGCAGTCGATCTCGTATACATACATAAAAAAGTAAATTAATTTAGATTTACTGTTACATTTACCTATTAAATTGCATACATTTTTGTGGTTATAAGCACACTAGCATACAACTCATATATCGATGAGTGGTGAATTTACAGAAAAAATTCCTTTGGTGGGTGAGGTACCTGTATTTCTTTTTCAAAATGTGTTTTTGTTTTCTCGGAGTAAATATTCCTTAGAAGAGTGTATTGGGCACCACAATAAGAATACCGCCAAGCGGACGGTTAATAAAAATACAGTATGCTCTTTATACTGCGAAAATAGTAGGCAATAATAAGCAAATGGTAATGAGGAAACCACAGTCTTACTTTGAAGAGTGAAATACGTTGACGGCTCTCGCTGTTCTACAGGCGTAACTCTCGCGCCTGTCGGAACGACTACGGAACAGTTTGTGAGAGGAGGGGTACAAGCTTTGATCATAACTGGGAAGGAGCGACTTGCTAATGCGGGTCAAAAGTTTTACAGAGGAAAACAACCCATCTTCTAAACGACACGGCATATTAGATGTCAGTGTTGGGATCAGTATATCAATTACCAGAGATCATTAACTTAGGCTCGTTTGAGCTTTGCCCACCCGCCTTAGTACAGGAAGAGACCTTCACAATTCAGCGCACATCAATACCAACATACATTCTTTGTAAGCTCATTTAAGCTGGTGGTGACTTTTAAACTACTACATGTTTAAATTGAATCACATTACACCACCTTCGTCCTCCCTGGGGCAGATTTAATCTCAAGTAAACTGATTCTGGTGCAATTTGTGCAAAGCAGTGGAAAATAAGAAAAGGGTATTTACCACTTTTGTTGGGGGATCTGACAGACCTTGAAACTTTAAACGAACAAATGATCCTGAACAATAGTTATCAGCACACATGGACACGTCTGGGATCTGTATAGTCTTAAAAAAGAAAAAGAAACAACGTTAAAGGCCACATATCAAGAGCCTTGTCGTAGGTAAAAATACCGATTGCCATTGATACAAATTCGAGCCGGTTTTGTTATCTATGTGTATCTGCGGAGTATCACTATCCAATATTATCCACTAAAGATCCAGTGACGTAAGGGTATTCTCCAAAGTTTACTTAAGGTGATGCATTTTCAACAACAAAGCTGGGCGTTAAAGTACAATAATAAACACATATCGATTCTAACAGACGATAGGTTTGTGTTCTGGAAGCATTGACTTAATACCAAGAAAATAATTACGAGTTGTCTGTAAATTTTACTTGAATTCCTGTCAATTATTTTACTATATTGACAACACAAGAAATAGAACTCCACACCGAATAGATCTCCGGACAGCGTCAGTGACGTAAGAGACCCAATTTGGTACAGAGCATCTCCATCATTGAGTCAGCTGGAAATGTTAATAGTATCAAACTCCGTGAAATGTTTGCATTGTACACTACGACAATCGATTCAAGATAGGTAGAGTGGACACCTGGATGAACCCAGCGAACATTGTAAAATTAATGGTGTCACAGATGTTTTTTATGAGAAAGGGAAAGAGATAACAAAGAGATTAAGACGTCACAGTAAATACATTTTCAGTATACATATGTACGCGTAAAGCATCGCAGGGAAGAACAAGCTTGTTTCAAAGTAAGACCTTCGGCAATCGATTTTAGATGATCGTGCAGCCTTTTTTCCATAGTGTCCATTGTTTGCCGTGTTGTACATTTCCCAAAATTCCTTCAGATTATTATTGTGATGTGTTTAAATGGTAATGTTTGTATGTTTCAGTGATCTTGATAATGGTACTCTGACGTCATTGAGGAGATGAAGGAACTTGCATTAACAGAAGAGGGACGGGCCACCCCCGTAGGCCATTTTGGAGTAACTATTGAGTAATTCCTGTCGCCCGGGATCCTGTAAAAGGGTCTTACAAATTGTTGTGTGTTGTTTTCTAAGGATATATTCAACTCTGTGGGAATTGTGATAGTGATTACAATGTAATTACATACACGTTCGGAGTATATACTTTGACCATGGTGGTTCTGCCTATCAGTGGCACATTTTTGGCGTCAACCGCGCTTGGACTAATCCTCATGATTCTAAGTGGTAAGTACTGATACAATATACTTATTTATGTAATGTAGAGAAATGGTATTGAAATATAACTATAACGACATCATCTATATAATTCATATCATAAAAATATTTGTTTGGTTTTATTTTCTATCACTCTGGATTGTTGATTAAACTTGAAGATTTTATAATAATTGCGAATCAAGTGATTCAGACTTATGATAATCACAATTATATGCCCGGATGTAAGCGCCGCGCGCGAGGGTCTCAATATCAGAAGAAACTGGAGTACTCGAGGAAAACCCACGTGATCGAGCAGGATTATGTAACCTCGTGTAACCTTTTCACTTAGCGAGTGCGTTACCACTGCACCACCCGACCACCAATCACAAATTACGTACAGGTATATGGTTGATGGCCTGATAAGTGAATAAGTGATTGTGGATACCTTACCAGGTGCTCGACTGTCAGTTACAGACCAAGCAAACCTCTGACACGATGTAATTCTGACAATGTATGTTTTGATTGGAAAATAGTAATGACACTACGTCTTCACAAAATTGGATGTGATCATAAAAAACAAAATACAGAGAATGAGATGAAATATTACAGTCACATGGTAATTGTACACCCAAAATTAGAATGATAATGAGGTGGACTGACAAAACTATTATGGAGGATAGGAAACTGTTTTTTATTTCAACACTCATATTTTAGTTTTGTTTTGCATTATTTCAAACGAAAGCAAAATAAAATAACACGTTTAAGGAACTATAAGCCGCCTGTCATCCTTGAACTATAGAACGGTATTCCAACGTGTTTAGGTTTTACACTTCGGTAACAATGTACAGCTTTGAGTGTACGAGAAATGATGTCGGCAGAGACAGTAACTAAAATAAAAAAACAAAAAAAAGTGAAGCGAAAGAGTATGGCGGAAGGTGTGGAATGTGATGATCGCGGAGGGATACAAAGGTGTAAACAGTAGTTGTCTGGCACGTAATGTTGGAAGATGTTTTTTGAAACAAACGCTAAAATGACATCACGTTCTTTCGTGTGTCTACTTTATTTTTATGCTAGAAATTAATTTCAAGACAGACTCAAAAAACACTTTAAGACAAAAAAATGAGACAAAATATATTTAGATTTGTAAAATGTTTAAGTTTTCTCATTTCAAGTAGAAACCCAACAAAGTGTTTAACCACAAGTGAAATGTATCGAATTTTATTTTTATTTAAAATTTGCAGCTATGAATTCAAATAAGTGTTTGACATTTACTTTGAAAAAACATGAACACTTCCATGGTTTCATGTTAAACAGGAAAAGGACTGCATCTTCGTTTCATGGGCATATTGAAAATTTTGTATTAAAATCAATTCTCGTTGTGTCATTATAAAATCGCTATTAATTCTTTCTTTTTTTCTCGCATAATGTTGTGGTAATAAAGAAATATATCAGCGCTTTTGAGATATGGAGGGAAATAATTATGAATATTTCTCAGTGTTTCTAGTTTTACTCCATGAAAACAGTGATGACTCGTAGAACGTTGATAAATGAGTTACATGGAAATTGTCTTAGGGTATCATTGGTTTACTACAATTTTACGCGAGCTCAGAACTGCGTTAGAGAGGGACCTGCACTTCTGTTGTGGTTTGTAATCAATATACAGGCACTAATATTTCGTCGTAATCGGTAGAAATGTCCTCTCATCACACACCACAGTGTGATCTACGAGACTCCTCAAATCATTCACGAGTTGAACCATTAGCTGGCCTTATAAACCGTATGGAATCAACAATATTTTCACACGTTTCATAATACAGCATAGATTTGAATCGTTCGTATTATCGCTGTTAAAGCTCTCCAATCATTACATCACTTTTATGACACGTCTGCCTGCGATCAGATACTGCGACTCACAATAAAAAAAAAAAAAACTTTCTATCAGCGCACTAATTTCCTGTCACTGTCGGTGATTCGCCTCGGGAAAAATGTCTCTACTCTTTAAGGTCATGACTCTACAGCGTATGTACTTAAATAGTTTAGATATCCAGATAATTGTCTTATTAAGGTTGCGCCATTGCGTTAGACACGAACACAAGTAAGTATTCTTGACAAATAAAGAAAATTGTCTCAAGTAATGGATGAGATTAGTTCTGTCAATGCATGCACACGTCATCATCTGAGTGGTTTGTTTTTTTGTGTGTGTATGGAGTAGTCATGACTACACCAGGTAGTATACAAAGGCCATTAAATCGTGATATTATCAATAAAATGAAATATTATCTAGATTTTGCGATGGTGATTTCATATTATCACACATGGTAGGTAGATATTAAACAAGAATATGACTTACTGTACAAAACACTAAAAATCTCGTGGACGGTGATTGTGCGGTTGATTGCTGAAAAGTTTGACGTGTACTTGTTCAAGTACAGCATGAGTTCAGACGGTATGGGCAGCTGTTTAATATTTTGAGGTGAAGCAAAGATACCAGACAGACGGAAAGGGCTGCTGATGGTCGAGCGTTTTTTTTTTTTTTTTTTTTACATTTTTATACCATGCAGTAAATGTTACGGCGGATTCAAGGTAATGTCGTAGTCATACATGAATGGTGTAATAGGTTCTCTAGTGTCAGGTTAGGAAGCGGAATGCCACATAAACCCGCTAACATTACAAGATGGTTTGTAATCATATTGGTAGCCTTGCCACTGTCACGCGAGGGTCGACCTCCCACACAATGTCGGCGAAGATATTACTTTGCTGGACCATAGAGTGACAAGGATTGGATATCAGAACAGAAAGGCTGCGTATGTTAAATGATAAACAGTTGCTACTCAAATAAACGCAATGGATTTTGATTTTGTTTTATATAAATTTAGGATTTCTACTTATGTTGTTTGTTACGTATCATGGTTAAATGAAACAGACATTTATAGGTTTTGTTTCCAGTTTTTTTAGGAATATCACAAAGATCAGTAACGATATGGCATTGCGGTTATGCATTTACAGTTACAAATGGAGAATTATTAAATATTTGTACCCAAATGACCAATGATAAACATATTTTGTGCCTAACATGATATTTTGTTTCGTTGTTCGTGACTACCACCCTCGAACACGGGTAACATGCAGAACCGTTATCGTGTCAGCCAGACTGCGTCCCTCCTTTCGTGATCGGAAGCTTGTAGAAAGTATATGTATATAATTGAAGTTTGTCGTAAATTGTTAAGTTGATGTGTTGTTTTAATGGGGTTTATTAGTACTATTATAAATACTGTGTGGGCGATCCTGTAACAGGCATACCAACCGTAAACCACCATTCAAACCTCGGGCAATCCTTTCTCTGTCATATGACTAAGGTAATACATATTCACGTGTTAGCGTTTTAAAATAAAGACAGCTGACGAAATCCTGAGATAAGAAAAACTATTATAACAAATATATTTCTTTAAGCACTGTGCCTCGCCGGTAACATGCGTTCAATATTACTGTCGTGTTAAGTGAGGAAACGTAACGAGACTACCAAGGGTACTGTAACGATGATAGGGGCTACTTAGTTCAATTCTTTTCGTGAACTATGGCTATTCCGCATAATTTCTGTCGTGTGCTAACAGTTTCCGTTTGTAGGTGTAGTGGAGTTACCAACGTTAAATATGTGCATTATACTTTTGTACCAAGCAAGCACCAACATAGACTTTCATAACCCTTGATTTTAGTCTCATTTCCGAGATTTCTGAGGTTGAATTAAACCGAAAGAAAGTATATATATTAAGCTTCATAGATATAGAACATCTTAGTCCATCATATGATCTCCGTGAATAATACGTACGTATGTCTTTACTAAGCTTCTGGTAATACGCGAATATGTCTTGTTACACTGTCTGCCGTATAACTTGTTGTTTTTTATGAACACCTTATGATTATTACTATGTACATGGATAGAAGAAATCGGATTCGTTTATCAATATCTTGCTATGATCAGTATGTTCAAAACATGAATACGGTTGGTTGGTTCTTTGGTATACGTTGCTTATACGGCAAATCTATACTTAAAACACAAATGTTACGTGTTACCTTTTTGTCACGGAGTGGAGTCTTGTGTTGTGTGATGCAAAAGAAAAAAAACGTTTAAACAGCTTGGAAGACTCTTTTGTTAACAGTTTACACGTCAGTCGCCATCAAGTAAGACTTAGCACTGTTACTGTCATATTCTTCCTTTCAAGGGAGTTGTTGCAGTATTTTCTTACTGACAAAATTGCTTAAAATTAGTCCTCCAAATAAAAGTTAAAATAATGGATAATTTCAGTCACATACTTGACACAAATGATATGAAAAGATAAAACATGTCGACGTAATGATAATCCGACTCAAATTCAATAAAACTGGCTTCTTCTGCATCATCGACGACACTCGCCATGTAAACCTGATTCAAACCGAGTAGGTAATATCGCGTTCTCAAATGAGATCTATGTACACAACAAGGGAACCAATAATAGTCTATGAAAAAAAAATGATTCTTCAAATATTCTCTCTTTCTCCATTTCAGACTTTAGCAAAGTCTGTGTGAACAAACTTTTAGTTAGCTCAACATGGCATACTGTCTGCGATAGATTAAACAAAATATAAATCGCAATTCCATACTTATTGCGAAAGTAATTGTATCAAAGTTCGATGCCATCAATCTGATGTTACAATTAGTTAATTTGTGTTGATGTAACTTAAAAGAGTATTAAATTTATCGTCACTTTGTTGCTTAGATTTAAATAAACACTGAATAAGATTGTTCTTATACTGAACCTACTACGCGATTGATTCAACTCATTGATTGTGTTACATTAATTTTATCTAGGTCGAGAGGCGAAGTTAGACACCAATAACATTTTCATTAGTTTACACTTAGGTCAGACTTTTAAGTACATGCAAAAATAACGGTTTCTAAAGCTTTAGAATCAAATATCAAAGTGTTTAATGAAAGGAAGTGTTGACGCGATGATGTTTACTCTTAGAGATATAAGAAGATATATTGGCAATTT